CATCCAGCTCCACACCTTGTTATCTCAGATTCTCCAGCATCAGCAGTTCCTACTATCTCTGAGACTCTGAAAGCTTGTGTTTTCAAAATAACCTGTTGGACTATAACCTGGTGTTGTGTGATTTCTGACTTTGTCCACTCCAGTCCAACACCGACACCGACACTGACACTGCCACTGGCACCTCCACATCATGTTTGATCAGTACATTAAGAGGATAACTAAAGAAAGGGTTCGGCCTATCAGAGATGCATCAAGTAACTTGATATGCTTAAGGGCCTTGTTCTGTGCTATTGACCTCTGTGACTGTAACTTGTATGTGGAAGCAGAAATATTTTCAGACTTCTTACTTGTGTACTTTGTCTTCAGAAAGGAGAGGGGTAGTGCAGAGATTCTAGCTAAGGAGGGAGAGTGTGGAATATTAGATAAAATAAACATAATGAGAAGTACCAGACAGATTGACCTCCTTGAAGGTGGGTAAACATAGAAACATAGAAAATTGGTGCAGGATTAGGCCATTTGGCCCTTGAAGCCTGCAGCACCATTCAATATGATCATAACTGATCATGCAATTTCAGTACCCTATTCCCGCCCTCTCTCCATACTCCTTGATCCCTTTAGCTGCAAGGGCCACATCAGCTCCCTCTTGAATATATCTAACGAACTGGCCCCAAACGATTTCTATGGGAGAGAATTCCACAGCTTCACAACTTTCTGAGGGAAGAAATTCTTCTTCATCTCAGTCCTGAATAGTTTACCCCTTATTCATAGAGTAGCCAGCTGGATAGATTGCATTCCAGGCTGTTAAAGGAATCTAGGGAGGACATACATGATGCTCTGAGGATCATTTTTCATCCTCATTAGATATAGGTGAGGTCCAGAGGATAGGAGAGTTTGTAAATGTTGTACAATTATTCAAAAGGCGTGCAAGGGAAAGGCCAAATAAGACCATAAGACCATAAAAAGTAGGAACAGGAGTAAGCCATTGGGGTCTCATTCCTGCTCCTTCTTTCTAAAGAATCACGGTTGATCCAATATCCCTCATGTTCATCTTCCTGCATTTGACCTGTAACCCTTGATTCCCTGATTGCTCAAGAATCTATCTATCTCAGATAAACTTTAAATAAACACAGTCTCTGCCCCACAGCTCTCTGTTCCAAAAACACTCAAACCTCTGAGAAAAGAAATTCCTCCACATCTCCATCTTAAATTGGCATCCCCTTATTCTGAGACAATGCTCTCTTGTCCTTGAATCTCCCATGAGGGGAAACATCCTCTCAGCATTTACCCTGTCAAGCCCTTTAATAATATTATATGTTTCAATTAGATCACCTCATTCTTCTAAACTCCAATGAGTAGAGTCCCAACCTGTTTAGATTTTGCCCATAAGACAACCCCTCCATATTGGGGTTCATCCTAGTGCACTTCTCTGAACTGCCTCCAACGAAATGATCTTTCCATAAATAAGGAGACCAAAACTGCTCACATTATGCCAGAAATAGTCTCACCAGCACCTTGTACAGTTACAGTACGATTTGCCAACTCTCATACTGCAGCCTCCTTAAAATAAAGGACCAACACTACAACTGCCTTCTTGAATACCTGTGTGCTAGCTTTCTGGGTTTCATGCAGGGATCATTAAGTCCTTTTGTTTGCAGCTTCCTGCAATTTTTCTACATTTAAAAAATATTCTGTTCTTTCGTTCTCCCTTCCAAAGTGAACAATTTCACATTTTCCCACATGATACACCATTTGTCAACTTTTTGCCCATTTACCTAATCTATTAATACCTATAACTGTACCCATCTCTCAACCTGGCTTTCCACTTAGTTTTGTGTTATCTTCAAATTTGGCTGCAGTACATTCACTTCTTTCCTCCAAATCAGTAACATATATACACACACAGTGAACACAGAATCCCTACAGTTGGAAAGAGGCCATTCAGTCCAACAAGTTCACACCAATTCTCTGAACAGCATCCCACCCAGACTTACCTCCCTATCCTATCTCTGTATTTCCACGTGGCTAATCCACCTAACCTACTCATCCCTGATACTATGGGCAATTTAGCATGGCCAATCGACCTGACCTGCACATTTCTGGATTGTGGGAGGAAACCGGAGCACCCGCAGGAAACCCACACAGACACGGGGAGAATGTGCAAACTCCACACAGATAGTTGTCCGAGGTTGGAATTGAACCCGGGTCCCTGGCACTGTCAGGGAGCAGTGCTAACCACTGAGCCACTAGTTGTCCCAGCACTGATCTCTGTAGAACCCCACTGATTGCAGATTGCCAATCTGAAAAAGCACCCCTTATCTCCACTTACTGTTTTCTGTTCAATAGTCAATTTTCTTACCATGCCACGGCAGGCTCTTATCTTATAACTTAACCTTTTGTAAGGTACATTTTTGAAGACCTCCTGGAAGCCCAAAGACAACACATTTACTAGTCTCCTCTAATACTCTGGTTGAGACTTCCTCGAAAAACTAACAAATTAGTCAGGCATGATTTCCCTTTTGTGAAGCCATGTTGAGTCTGCTTGATCAGATTATGATTTTCCAAATGTTCTGCTCTTACTTCCTTAATAAGTTATTCCAATATTTTTCCAAAATTAGATGTTTAGTTAATCAGCCTAAAATTGTCCGCTTTTTATCCTCTTTTATTGAATAAGGGTGTCAACATATAAATAATTATTAGCTGACAGTCCGATCACAATAGTGGACAAATTCCTACAGTCAATATTGAGAGGTAGAACTAACTGTTACTTGGAAAGGCACAGACTACTTGGGAATATTCAGTGCGGTTTTGTTAAGGGAAGGTTGTGTCTTACAAGGTCAATGGAATCTTTTGAGGAAGTATCAAGGCGGATTGATGAGAATAATGCAGTGGATGTGATCTACATGGATTGTAGTAAGGCTTTTGACAAGGTCCAAACATTGCAGATTGGTCAGAAACATTAAAATCCATGAGGTAGAGGGGAATGTGGCAAGTTGGATCTAAAATTGATTCAGTGACAGGAAACAGAGGGTAATGGTCGATGAATGCTTTTGCAAATAGAAAATTGTTTCAGTGCTTCACAGACTTTGTTGTGGGTTTTTGCTAATTGTTGTATAAATTGATGATTTAGATTTAAATATGGGATGCATGATTGGGAAATTTGCAGATGACACAAAAAAATTGGCTGGATAGCTGATAATGAAGCTGTGAACTGCAGGGCAACGGATAAGTGACAGAGAAGTGTGAGGTTATGCACTCGGGAGGGAAAACAAACTGAGGAAATAGGCAATAAATAGAGCCTACTGAAAGGGGTGGAGGAAATGAGAGACCTTGAAGTGCATTTTCACAAATGACAAGATGGGTAGTTAAGGCAGTAAAGAAGGTATATGGAATGCTTTCCTTCATTGGATGAAGTATTGAACATTAAAGCAGTGATGTAATCCTGAATGATATAAGACACTGGATATGCCACAGCTGGAATTCTGTGTACAGTTCTGACTACATTACAGGAAAACACATTTGCTCCAGAGTGTACGCAGAGGTGATTCATAAAAATATTGCCAGTTTGAAAATTGCCGCTAAGAGCAAAGATTGGATAGATTAGAGTTATTTTCCAGAGAAGAGAGGAGGCTGAAGGATGATTATTTGAGGTATAGAAATTAATGAAGGGCATGGGTAGAGTGGACAGGAAAGACCTGTTTCCCAAAGAGAGAGGTTAATTACCAGGAGTTCAGATTTAAATTGACCGATTAAAGGATTAGCGGGGACTTGAGGAAAAATTGAGGTGGAAACCCTAAACTCATTTACAAGGGACCTGGGTCAGAACTTGAAGTGCAGTACCCTACAAAACTGCAAAACAGGTATTACTAAGCGGGATTATAATGGATAGACAATTTATCAGCTAGAGCAGACATGGTGTGCTGAATGGCCTCTGTGTGCTATAACCTCTCTAAGATTTGAAATAGTTGGGGACAGAGAGGTCATGGGGGATGGAGAGGTGGTTGATAGGGGTTTAGTGGGATAGAGGAGGTAGTGGCAGAGTGAGAGGGAGGTAGTGGGATTGAGAAGGTGTTGGAGGGGGAGATCATGGGGGAGGGGCAGGAAGAGGTGGGGAAGGAGATGTAGGGGGGTGTGGGATGGCGAGGTATTAGGAGGTGAGAGAGGTAGTATGGATGAGAGAGGTTGTAGTGGAAGTAGGGTAGACAGTGGGGAAGGGGAGAGATTATAGGGGATGAAGTGTGGAAGTGGGAGGCCATAGGGAAGGTTGTGGGGGGAGGTCCTGGAGGAGGAAGTTGTGGAAGGGTATGTTATAGGGGAGCATATGGGGGAAGGGGGTGGTCATGGGCTGTTCTCCAGTGGTGGGGAGGTTTGTGTGGGCAGTGGGAGCAGGAAGAGCAGAGGGAATGAACAGGAGCAATGGCCATTCCTATATGGTTCAGGAATGATTCGAAAGGCCTGGCCAAACCCCGACCTCAGTCCTTTTTCTCGGCCCAGTCAGGTGAATGATCCTAATCCAATAATGTAAGATGTACAGAAATTTACCTCAAGAAAAGTTTTCAACTGTAATTGTTACCAAATGTAAAAGGACTGAAACATCAGAAAGACACTATTTGAACAGAATGTGTCATGCTCAGGACTATCAGAATTGTGTGGAATGGGCTGAACCAGGGAATTCTCAGCTGTATGTCAGTGTTTAGTGTGGAATGATCATAGGCACCATCCAAAGCAGCTTTCCTCCCACATTATTTCCAAGAAACGGTCCAAGAATTTATTCATTTAATGACATATAATACTAACAACGAATGACGTGGCAGAACATATTTGACATCTTACATTCAGCGAAATATCACAGCTGTCAGAGTCCATGCCAATCTCTGCCCATTGCTTTGCAGAGTGTATACAAAACAATAATTTACAATTGCATTGGCCATTTTGCTTCATTCTGGGTTTGAGAAAGGCAGACTTATAAAAAGTGCTCAATCTGATGAATCCAGGTCTAAGAAACAGAAAATAAAACAATCAAAAAATTGAATTTAAGATAGCTGATGACATCTTGAAGAGGAAAAAATGGAGCCTACGCAATATGGAGAACAGTGAGCTGCTGGTGTCTAGATGAAAGGAGGACTGATCGAGAAAGTGGAAGGGACACAGGAGTACAGAGAGGAACAAGACAAGTTTGGCAGAAATGGAAAGAGAAAGAAAGAGTATGGGAAAGAAGCAAGAAATTAAAAGGGTGAATAAGAAAGAAACAAGGGCAGAATTGAGGACTGAAGGGAGTAAACAGTCAAAGATAAGAGAGAGATGGGCTGATGGGCAGACAAATAATAAAAGCAACAGACAATAAGAAATAAGCAAGACAATTGCAGGAGAAAGAGTGAAAAATGAGGCAGGGAGGAAGGAATAAGAAACAAAGAAAATGTGTAAAGATAAAAGGAAAGGAATAAAGGTAAATGGAATGTATTGAGTTCCACACTTGTGCTCGGAGTTTGTTTGGATAGCAGTCAGATTAATACACCAGCTGTTGAAATAATCTCTGATTCCCATTTACACACTTTGACATTGCATCTTGCTTTCATCAAAAATGGTTTGTTAAGTTCTTTGCACGTTTATGGGCTTTTTGTTGTAGAAAACATTGTGTCAGAATCTCTTTCTGGTTAGACACTACTCCAGCAGGAAGCATGCATAAACAGAGGAAAGGTCCAGGCAGAACCCCTCTCTCAAATTGTCTGGTGAATATCCCACTGTCTGGGAGCTCCGCATTTTCACCATCTGAATGGCTACATCACATTTTCAAAGAGTTGCAAAGATCTCGTGATATTTTCATCCTGTAAAAAGGAAGAAACAGAGTTCCAGATGATTAAACTTTAAAGGACAAACAGATTGGGACCACCCTCTGTGACCAGCCAGTACTGAGTGAGATTGTCTTACTCACTGAGACATACAAAATTCAGAAAATGCTAAGGCTCTACCCAGTCTGAACCATTTTTGACATATTTGTTACCCTGTTTCTCTGACTTTCCACATCAGAACATTCCCTTGGTCCAGTTCTGATGATCCCCAGCCTTGTAAACTTGCCAACCTTGTGATGATATCTAATCTTCACCTCGTGTGTCTGACAATTAAGCTGCACTGAAAATGTAATCTTCGAACATTCGCCCCTCAATTTTTCCCATGCTAAATTCCAACTTTTGTAGCTAGAGTGGAAATAGTATTGGTTAGCCTGTCACACTGTAATTCTACCCTCCCAACTATAGGGAAGAATTGCTGCTGGTCAGTGGTGTATTTACAATGAAACATGTCAACAGCAGCTTAAAACTAAGAACAGAATGAACAGTTGTTCATTCCTGGAGGTTCCCAAGAGGATATCGTAAGTGACACCTAGGCTACGTGGAGATGGTGCCCAGAGAGAAAGGAGAAAGAGAGAGAGAGATGGGATAGGCAAACAAAGAGATTGCTGATGATAAGCTGAGACCTGATAAACTGGGTGGGCATGAACAAGAATTCAAAATGGGTTGGCTGTGCTGGGAGTAATGCATACAAAGCAGTACTTGGGCTTGAGGGCATAGGCAATGAACATAGATGAGGGTATTCACACACTAAAATTGTTAAAATTGATATTAAGTCCTGAAGGCTGTAAGGAACCTAGGTGGAAGATGACATGTTGCTCCTCCAGCTTACGTTGAGCTTCTCAGAGGCACTGCAACAGGCCAGAGAGTGAAATGTTGGCCAAGAAACACGGTGGTTTATTGAAGTGGCAGGCAACTGGAAGCTCAGGGCCAATTTACAGTTAGAACCTAGATGTTCCACAAAGCAGTCACAGATCTGCATTTCATCTCCCTAATGTAGAGGAGAGTTCTGAAGAAGTCACTGGACTAGAAACGTTAATTCTACTTTCTTTCTGTAGATGCTGCCAGACTTGCTGAGTTTCTCGAGGAGACCAAATTATAAGCAGTGAATGAGAAGATGTGGAGGTGTCGGTGTTGGACTGGGGTGGACAAGGTCAGAAGTCACACAACACCAGGTTATAGTCCAACAGCTTCATTTGAAATCAGAAGCTTTCGGAGCACTGTCCCTTTGTCAGGTGAAGTGCAGCGAGGCACATAGACACAGAATTTATAGCAGAAAGATCAAAAGATCATACAAATGGTGTAAGTGAATGTCAACAGGTTGAATAGTAAGTCTCTGCAGATGATCAAAAGTGTCAGACGGTGTGAGTAAAGTGTCAACAGCTGAATAACAAGTGAAGGGATGATCTATAATCCAATTAATTGAGGCAAAGAGATAATCACAAAATATTAAAAATAAGGTCGTGCAGGAGACAAACCAAAGGCTGGAATAATGTGATAGGTATAAGAGTCATGTGCCGAGGGTTTAACTAAAGTAACAAGTAATCCAAAACTGTACAAACTAATTAAGGTACAGAGATCATAACAAGTTATTAAGGTGACGGTGTCAAAATGGGACAGTAAGGAAGATTTTACTGATATAGAACAGTATGGTGGGATTACATATAGTGCGAGATGAACCCAAGATCATGGTTGAGGGCAGCGATCCTGCGTTGTTGTATGTCTTGAAGGCCACCTTGGAGGACACTTACCCAAAGATTGGAGGCTGAATGTCCTTGACCGCTGAAGTGCTCCCTGACTGGGAAGGAACATTCCTACCTGGCAATTGTGTGCAGTGCTCATTCATCCATTGTCATAGCTTCTGCATGGTCTCGCCAATATACCATGCCTCAGGGCATCCTTATCTGCAGCGTATGGGATAGACAACATTGGTCGAGTCACATGAGTATCTGCTGTGTATACGGTGGGTGATGTTCCCATGTGTGATGGTAGTATCCATCTGATGATCTGGCATGACTTGTAGAGGTTGCCATGGCAGGGTTGTGTGGTGTTGTGGTCGATGTTGTTAAGGCTGGGTAGTTTGCTGCAAATAATGGTCTGTTTAAGGTTTGGTGGTTGTTTGAAGGCGAGAAGTGAGGTGCAGGGATGATCTTGGTGAGATGTTCGTTGTCATCAATGACATGTTGAAGGCTGCGGAGAACATGTCGTAGTTTTTCTGCTCCGGGGAAGTACTGGACGACGAAGGGTACCCTATCGGTCAAGTCCTGTGTCTGTCTTCTGAGGAGTTCATTGTGGTTTTTCGCTGTGGCACATTAGATCTGGCGATCGATAAGTTGAACATCGTATCCTGTTCCTATGAGGGTGTCTTTCAGCATCTTTAGGTGATCATCGTGTTCTTTCTCCTCTGACCAGATCATGTGTAAATGCAGGGCTTGTCCATAGGGGATGGCTTCTTCAACAAGTTTAGGGTGGAAGCGAGAGAAGTGCAGCATCATGACGTTATCCATGGGCTTGTGGTACTAAGTTGTCAGTCCTTAATGAAGATGCATGTGTCCAAGAATGAGACTGACTCTGAATAGTCCATGGTAAGTCTGATGGTGGGATGAAACTTGCTGATATTGTTGTGTAGTCGTTTCAGTGATTCCTCGTCATGAGTCCAAGGGAAGATATAATAAAGAAGATTCAGTGAAGTGTAGGTAAATCACTGCTTCACTTCGAAAGTCTGTCTGAGGCATTGGGTAGTGAGAAGGGAGGAAGTAAATGGGCAAGTGTTGCATGGGAAGGTGATGTTACAAGGGGAGGCGATGGTCTAGTGGTATTATTGCTAGACTATTAATCCAGAGACCCAGGTAATGTTCTGGGGACAAGAATTCAAATCCTGCCATGGCAGATAGTAGAATTTGAATTCAATTAAATATCTGGGATTAAGATTCTAATGTTAATCATGACACCGTTGTCGATTGTCAGGAAAAACCCATCTGGTTCACTAATGCCCTTTAGGGAAAGAAATCTATCATCTTTACCTGGATTGGCATACATGTGATTCCAAACCCACAGCAATGTGGTTGACTCTTAATTGCCCTTTAGGCAATAAATGCTGGCCTAGCCAGCAATGCCCACATCCAAAAAAAAACAATTCTATGATTGCATGGGAAGGTGCCATGTGTTGTGGGGAGATGTTTGGAGTGGAAGAGAAGTGGACTAGCGTGTCCTAGAGAGAAAGGTCCCTATAGAATGCTGACAGGGGAGCAGAGTGGTGCCATCCTGCTGAAGATAGGGGAAATGGCAGCTTATTATCCTTTGAATGCAGAAGCTGATGGGGTGGAAAATGAGGACAAGGGGGAACCTATTGCTGTTGTAAGGGGAGGGAATGGCTGAGGCCAGAAGTGGGTCAGGTATGAGTGAAAACCCTGTCAACCACGAATGCTGCCAGACCTTCTGAGTTTCTCCAGCAGCTGCTCTGTTTTTATTTCAGGTCTACATCATCTGCAGTTCTTTATTTTTATTCTACCTGTTCCAGGATTCTGTGAAATTTGCATTCACTGCTGTAAGTGGTCATGGGGCTCAATCCCTGAATCTTCAAGTAAGGATTGGACCATGATCCAACACCTCTCATTTCATTTAAATGTTGGTGATGACTCCAACGTGCAGTGCATAAGTTACAAATTGTGCATCACTCTCAAATTTCACACTTAACATGAAGGAGAGTTGGACAGTGTATGGGTGTGACTGTCAGTAAAATTTCACATGTTAGTGGGAATGTAAGTCCAATTACACACGTAGGTGTGACTGCCAGTACAATTAAATGTGTTGGCATGACTGTAAGTGCAATTACTCACTTACATATATAGGTGAGATTATTGGTCCAATTATATAGGTAGGTATGACCCAGTGCGATATAGGTGTGATAACTGGCCTAATTACACATGTAACTGTGACTGTCAGTACAATTAACATCTAAATGTGATTACAATTAGAAATGTATGTGTGATTGTTCATACAATTGAATACCTAAGTGTGACTGTGATTACATACGTAGGTGTGATTGTTCATTTGTACTAAATTAACATTTTGCCTCTGTCATTATTAAATTAGAAGACACTGACAATGGCATAGTTGAAAATGTGGGTGTTGAGCAACTGAGCAGTACAGTAATAGATAAAGAAGAGGTGCTAAAAAGGCTGGCAGCACTCCAGATACAGAAGTTGCCAGGTCCGAATGGGATGCATCCCAGATTGCTGGGAGAAGTAAAGAAGCAAACCGCAGAGCCATTGACAGAAATTTTCCAGGCATCTCTGAACGCTGGATTAGTCCCATGGGATTGGAGAATTGTAAATGTGACACAACTCTTAAAGAAAGGGTCAAAGGATAATCCAGGAAACTACAGAGCCATCAGCTTGACATCAATAGTGGGAAAACTGATAGAGGCCATAATCCGGGTGAGGTAAGTATAGGCTTAGAGAAAAATAAGTTAATGCTGGATAGTCAACATTGGCTTTGTCAAGAGCAGGCCAAGTCGTAGAATATAGAACATAAACCATAGAACATAGAACATAACAGTATAGCACAGGAACGGGCCCTTTAGCACATGATGTTATGCTGAACATGGCGCCAAAAATTAATCCCTCTGCACGCCCTTAGTCCATACCCCTCCATTCCTTGCAAATTCATGTGCTTATCTAAAAGCCCCTAAATTGGCCCTAGCGTATCTGCTTCCAACACCACCTTGGCTGTGTGTTTCAGACTCCTACCACTCCAGTGCAAAAAAACTTGCCCCTCACATCTCCTTTGAACTTTCCTCCTTTCACCTTAAATGCATGCTCCCTAGTCTTAGACATTCCAACTCTGGGAAAAAATTCTGACTGTCAACACCCTCTATGCATCTCATAATTATTATGGACTACAATCAAGTCTCCCCTTAGCCTCCAGAGGAAACAACCCTCGTTTTCTAGCCTCTCCTCATGCCCCTTAGACATTCC